GAGTCAAGAGATCTAGGCATGAATCTTGGCTGTGATACTTACTAGCTATATGACCACAGGCAAAACACTTCACTTCTGAGTGTTTTCACCTGTCAAATGGGTCTCAACTCCAAATCCAGAGCTCTATCAACTATGAAATATTTCCCTTCCTCACTATAGGAAGGCCAGTTTCCAGCCTCATAGAATTTCCTAAAACTTGCATTCCACTGGCAAAGTCTTTAATAACTATGCCATGAAGAGGAGCAAGATAAAGGAGATTGAAGATTTATTTTTTAAATACTTCTAATAAAAGCACAATAAATACTAGATTATCAAATAATATGATGGCCTGTTAATAAATAAATAACACAATACTGTACATTATCTGCATTAAAAGGGTCAGACAAATCTTGATAATTAGCAGAGGATTTTTAAAGGACCAGTGATAGATACTTTGTCTCTTAGAAAAAGGTCAGAACAAACAGCATTAGTCAAGGCACGTTCTCCCATCTTTTACATAATCATCCAGAGAATAAGAATTTGGAGCTAAAATAGTTACACTTGGCCTCCAAGAGCCAAAACAGGCCTAACTGGTGGAAGTTACAGAATCTGAGTTTGAAAAGGAACTAAGACCTCATCTGTATCTGATCAAGAATCACTTCTACCACGTTACCACCAAGTGGTCACCTAGTCTTTAGTGGAAATGGTAGAATGGAGGTGGTACTTACTATCTCCTGAGGGATGCAATTCTGATTTTGAATAGCTCTATTAGGAAGTTTTCCCTTATATCAAGAAGGAATCTGCTTTTCTGCCACTTTCACTTCCTAGCTTTGCTCTCTAGGACCAAGGAGAACAAGTCTAGACCCCCTTCAAATACTCTAAAACAGTTATAGTTAAATGTCTAAGTTATCTTTCCTTGAAGCTAGACATCACAAGTTACTTCAACAAGTTCTCATCTGGCATAATCTTCAGGATTCTCACTATCCTGAGTCGCCCTCCTTTGGACACATTCTAGTTTATGAAATTTCTTCTCTTTAGTTTGGTATCCATAATACTGAACACAATATTATGAATGCATTCTGAATAAAAGCTCAGTGGTACTCTTAGCCTCCTCATTTTATACACTATTTCTCTCAATTAACATAAAACTGCATTACTGGTTTTTGCTTCCATATCACAACTAATATTTAACTTGCAGCCCACTAAAACCCCTAGAATTGTTTTGGATGAACTGCTATCTAGCTACATTTCCTCCATCTTGTACTGCTGAAACTGATATTTGAACACAAGCATATAACTTTATTAAAGTGTATTTGTTATCAGATTCATTAGATTCAGCTCAGCATTCTAGCTTGTTGAGGTCTTTTTGGATCCTGACTTTGTCATCCAATGCGTTATCTCTCCAGTTTTGTGTTATGTGCACATTTAATAAGCATGTCACCTATGCCTTTGTTTTGTATGTATAATATACATATATTATGTGCATATATGTATGCACACATATGGATGCAAATGTATACGAAAATGTGCATATGTATGTGTACATTATAGAGGCAGCTAGATGGTTCAGTGGATAAACCACTGGGCAACAAGAGACAAGAAGACTTTGAGTTCAAATCCAGCCTCAGACATGTCTTAGCTGTCTGACCCCAGGTAAGTCACTTAACATCTATTTGCCTCGGTTTCCTCAACTATAAAACAAGGATAATAACAGTACCTACCTTGTAGAATTGTTGTGAGGATCAAATGGGATAATATTTTTACTAAGCACTATATAAATGCTTATTCCTTTCCACTCTCTTATTTAAGCAATTGATAAAAATGTTAAATACCCAAGCTAAATATGAACCACTTAAGTACCTCCACTAAAGAACATCCAAGTTGACACAGAGAAATCACTGGAGTGTTCAAAGGAGAATAAGAATTTGTCAGTGTTACTGAAGAATTATTGATAATTCAGGTAGGTATTGGATGAGATAAATCTCCAGCTCTAACATTCTATGATTCCCTTTTTTTTAAACTCAATCCCTTTGGGCTGCAGGATTATAAATGGAGAAAGAAACGAAGGGAGGGATAGAAAATGTTGCAAATAGAAGAGAAATACATAGAAAGTAGCAGTTAATAACTAAACAACTGCAGTGTATTTTGTATAAGGAATGAGCACACTCACACTCCTGTCTCTTTCTGTACAACCAAGTTTGGGTAGTGGTTATAACTTCTTCCTCATTAGGCTGTCCATTGTGTGCTACAATATAATACTCAGCAGTTTTATGGCTCCTGTAATTAGAACAAACACCAATGCTCTAGGCTTTTGGTTTTGGTATATAGAGAAATTGCAATGTTGAGAATCCATTTCAAGGTTTCATTTGGCTTGTCCCATTTACCAAAGGAACCACTGCCATATATGATGACATAGTTGTTCTATAATAGTAGGGTGTTCTCCAGTTTTAAAAATATCTTTACAAATCATTTGTTTTATAAATAAGTATGCATACAGGAATCCTTTAGGCTTTTTTCTTAATAGAAGCTGGTATAAAATTGAATGGCAGAATAACAATATAGAAAAATGAGTGCCTCATGAAGTAATTAAAATTATTATTCTTTCAATTCAACAATTATTTATTAAGCTCAAACTATGTAGTGAGAACTGTGCTAGGGGTGATACACAGTTCAGAGCAAACATAATTTTTGTTCGGATAGAGGTTACTGACACACTAATAAGACATAAGGGTATAACAGATGTGCAAATAAAGTCATAAGTAAAGTCTGAGGAAGGAATAATCATTATTCTGGGAGAATCAAGGAAGGCTTAATACAATAAAAGTAGCATTTGGGCTGAACTTAAATGGTTAGAAAGGACTGAAATAACTAGGGGTGACAAGGCAGGGACAGGCAGAGAAAATAGTGTGAAAAAGATATTAAGTCCAGGAAGCAGGAGTATGGATAAGCATATAGTTTGAGCAGCCTACTGTGTTTGGTAAGGCAAGCAACAGGGACACACCAATGAGTTTTGAATATGATGAGATACTTGCTCTAAGCAACCATAAATTGCAGAAAATATACCAACCATCACTGATAGGAATTTTCTTATCCCAGAGTTTCCTAAAGCAACAAAATAAATGGCAGCTAGGTGGCATAGTGGAAAATATGCTGGCCCTGGAGTCAGGAAGACCTGAGTTCAAATCCTGATTCAGACACCTAATAGCTACATGACCCTAGGCAAGTAACTTAACTTGTGTGTGCTTCAGTTTCCTCATCTGTAAAATGTGGACAATAATAGCACCTACCTCCTAGAGTTACTAAGAAGATAAAATGAGATAATATTTGTAAGTACTTTGAAAACCTTAAAATGTCAATAGTCAATACTCATAATAATTGGCTGCTATGTGCCAAGCACTATGCTAAACTCTTGGGATACAAATGCAAATAAAAAAGAAAGCCAGTCCCTGCCTTCAATGAGTTTACAATCTAAGTGAGGAAGATAACATAAAAAAGGAAGCTGAAAAAGGATGAGGATAGGAGGAGGGTTATATTGTGCCAGGGCATGATGAAGAAGTACAAAGGAAGTGCATCTACCGGGAAATGGGGAGAAAATTGTGCTGGGTCCCCTTCTTAAATGGAAGTTTTGGAGATCATGGCTCTGCTCTCCAGTCAGAGAGGAACAGAGTTATCAAAGAGATGTAAGCACCAAGGATTTTTCTATCTTGAAGGATGATGAGATTTCCCAATGATGAGTTTTCTGGGGCACGAAGGCATGATGGAGCAACCCAAAGAAGTTCAAAAGCAGTGCAGTTGCTGTACAAATGCTATTTATTATTATTAGGCAGGAGGTGGTACTGTAGATAAAGTGCTGGGATGGAGGTATGAAGATCTAGTTCAATTCCTGCTTCAGACACTTCATAGCTATGTAACTTTGGGCAAGTCACTTAACCTCTCTCATCTCCATTTTTCCCATGTATAAAATAGGGATAATAACATTATCTTCCAAGGTCGCTGAGAGGATCAAATAAGGTAATATGTACAATGCTTTGTAAACCTTAATACACTATAATAATGCTAATTATTAAATAAATTACAGGCCCAAACCCTATTCCTATTCCTTTCCTATCCTATCAATAAATTATGCATTTATTAATTATTTCTTCTTTGGCATGGTGTTAACTGTTGTTGATAAAAAGATCAATGTGAGCATTTCCTGCTCCTCAATGAGTTTTCATTCTGAAGGAAGAGACGGCACATACATACAGATTATATACAAAAGCATATACATAGTAGACAACGTAACTTTGGATGAGAAAGTACTAGCAGCCGGGTGTAAAGGGTAAGTCTTTGCAGAAGGTGACACCTAAAGTGAATCTTTAAGGAAACCAGAGATTCGAATCCAAGAAGCAAAGGCAAGAAAGAAGACCATGCTAGGCAAGGAGCCTTTACAGGAGATGAAGCTTCATGCGTAAGACACAGCAAGCAGGCCAGTGTGGCTGCACCACCAAGTGTAAGAAGAGAGTAATGTGTGAGAAAATTAGAAAGGTAGAAAAAAGTCGAGGTACAAAGAGCATTAAATGCCAAATAGAAGAGTTTATATGTGATCCTAATGGCAAAAGGGAACAGCAGGAGTTTACTTAGTTTAATAAGTAACACTGACAGACATGCACTTGAGGAAAGTCACTTTGTAATTGTCTGGAAAAATGGATGGGTCATAGACTCTGAAGGAGCCCTCTACCTGGTAGACTATAAGAAAAACTGAGGAGAAACACCTAACTCTCTCTTTTGAGACTTTGTCAGCATTTTCTCTCCCTTGGATTTCAAGGAGGCGGGAGTGGGAGGGAACTAAAGAATTTATCTCAATCTTCGTGACACTGGTGGTTACCACCATACAACAGCAAAATACAGATAGGAGCTTGTCTCCACAAGCCTATCTCAGAAGTCAAGAGTTTCTGAGTCAGATATCAGTTGTCCTAAGGGAGGTGATCCCTTAAACAGCACCTCTTCTCAGAGAAGTACCACCAGGAGGCTACCACAGTTGAAAGAAGTAAGAAAGGACTGGCTGTGCTCTGAATGGCTGTAAAACCTGAATCCTGGGAGTTGCTCACACAGTACAGATCTGAGGTGAAAGTCAAATGTCTATTTCAGATCCCACAAAGTTATTTTTACTTTTTGGGAGAGTATAATGCATATGACAGATTGATGTTTTATGTTTATTTGTTAATTCTTTTGTGTTTTAAGCATTTTTATTAGCACAGTGGTAGTGGCGAAGGAAATAAAACTGTTGCCCTATACCTGGTAATGTGCATATTTTACAATGAACACTTTGTCAAGAAGGGAGGAAATCCTAGAAACGAGCCACACTTCAATTCTGTTAGAGAGATTTCTCAGAGTTACTCCAGTCTAGGTGTAGCAACGTAGAGAGACAGATAAGTCTGATACCCCATCTTAGCCAGGATGAACCAGATCTTTGTGAATTCTGAGCAAGGGCTCTTTTGGGGAGAAGCCCTTCCACCCCAACTCCAGGCTTTAGGTCATACCTACAAACTAAGAAAGTAAAATGAAAGGGGATTAAGAGGAGGAATTCTCTGAATGTGACCTTCACAAATACTGAATAAGCAAGGGCAAGAGAAGGGGAGAGAGTGGCTAACCTTATATCTATATAAGATGGGGTGGGTAGGAGAAAGAAGTAAACACTGAAAAGGAATGAAAAGGAAATGACATGGAAATGAAAAATGAAAAAGTAAACCTACAGAATTTAGCCAATCTACTGGGTTAGTGCTGTGGTTTGTGGTGGGATGAGTGTGTATATTTATAAAGACTAGGACAGAACAGAATTCTGCCTGTGGTAGGTGGGTATCAGAGCAAATGTCTATGAATGACCATGTAAATGGGATTAAATTAACTAAAGGGAAGTAAGGTCTTTCTTATGTTTTACTGACAAAAACAATGTAGCTGAATATGACAGAGTGAAAAACTAAATTTAATAGTTATAACTTTGAACACTAGTGAAGCAAATTTACTTACATACAGAAAACAGGTCACAGGATGAATAAAAAGAAAAGACTTATCAATATGTTATCCATAAGACACATATTTAATACAGAAAGTCATATGTTGATTTAAAATGAGAAGTTGAGAAAAATTTACTATGCATCAACTGATACTAAAAAGGAGTCAAAGTCATTATTTCTGACAAAATAGAATTACAGGCAGAAAGCATTAGAAGCAAGAAATATGGCAACCATATTGTGATTGGAGGAAACACTGACAGACTATATTAATGTTAAATATAAATGTACTAAACAGCATAGCCATTAAATTTTTAAAGGAAAAGTTAATGTAATTACAAAAGACTCTAAATTAAAAAGGATTAAGAGTGAGAGATTTAATCAGCCTATTTTCAAAATACAGGTCAAAATAAAACAGAAAAAAAAATTTAAAAAAAGAAAAAAGGAAACAGAAAATCAGTTATATGATGAAACAATACTAGAAAAATTAGATTCGATATAATGAGACTGAATGAATTTATTAGATAATTTATTTTTTATTCAAATGTTCATGATACATTTACAAAAACTGATCACACCCCATGGCACAAAAATTTACAAATAAAAGCAAAAATTTTAAATAATATATTATAGGTAATACCATCGTAATATTAAATAAGAAAGGAAATGCAATAATATGCATGTCTAAATAGACTAAAAATGATTTTCTTAAGAATGACTAGATCAGTGACAATAAAAACAATAAAAATGCATCAAAGACAATGATAATAAATATATAAATATTTATAAGATTCAGTTAAAAGTGCTCTTAAAATAAAATTTATCTCCTTGAATGTTTATATTAATAAAAGTTTAAGAAAGATAATAATGAGTTGAGCTTCTGGTTAAAAAATTTTAAAAAAATAAATAAATACAAAATAAGCATCAACAAAGTTACTAAGAACAAAGGAAAATTAACAACTGAAAAAAGTGGAAAAAGAAAATAAAATGCAAAACTTTTTTTTCCAAAACACTGATAAAATTTTAAACCATTAAATAATCTAACCAAAAAAGAGAGGAAAATCAAATTACCAAAATTAAATGTGAGAAGGGACAAATTACAACTCATGAAAAGCTGAAGAATCTAAAGAAAAATATTAGAGAATATTAAGACAAATTTATATGCCAACAAAATTGACAATGTCATAGAAAGTGAAAAATATGAAAAGAGATAAAATATAACAAATGGTACAGACAAAATTGAGAATCTACATAAGCCAATATCAGAAAAAAGAAACTAAACAGGACATTAGTGAATTAGTATAGAAACATAAACACACACACACACATAAACAATTCTAGAATAAATACCAATGCTATGCAAAAAGTTTTCAAAAAAACAGCTTTCTACCCAACTGTTTCAATGAAAAAAAAATTATTTTAATCCCCAATTAAGATAGAAGGTAGAATAAGAAAACTATAGACATCTTCATGAATGAATACTGGCACAGTAGAAGGAAGCAATACAATGAACTCCACCACTCATGAAAACAAATAAAAACAAACAAACCTCTCCAAAAAGAATACTGATGGGGAAAGAAAAAGTAACAATGAGTCATTTTTCCAGCCCATGTTGGCACAGGGAAACAGAGAACACCCAGGGAGGGACTCCATACAAAGTGCCATGGCTGCAACTCCCCCTCTGTGCCACCTGCCCCTGGCTGACAACCCCACTACCGTGGAGGACTTCACTGAGGGGGGCTCCAAAATCAACGTGAGTAAGAACCAGTGGGATGACAGTAAAATGTTTATTGGAGGGCTAAGCTGGAATACAAGCAAGAAAGCTGTGACTGAAAACCTGTCTCATTTTGCAGAGGCTGTAGACCACACAACTGAAACAGATCCCATCATGGAAAGATCAAGGGGATTTGGATTTGTGTTTTTCAAATATGTTGCCAGTATCAATAAGGTTCTGGAACTTAAAGAACACAAGCTGGATGTCAAGCTGATAGACCCCCAAAGGGCTAAAGATTTAAAGGGAAAGGAGCCCCCACAAAAGGTATATGTTGGTGGGCTGAGCCCAGATACATCTGAAGAACAAATCAAAGAATATTTTGGAGCATTTGGAAAAATTGAGAGTATTGAACTTCCTATGAACATAAAAACAAAGGAAAGAAGAGGATTCTGTTTTATCACATCTACAGATGAAGAACCAATAAAGAAATTATTAGAAAGCAGATGTCATCAGATTGGTTCTGGGAAATGTGAAATCAAAGTTGCCCAACCCAAAGAGGTATATGGGCAGCAACAACAGAAAATTGGGAAGGGAGCTACAGCTGCTGGATGAGGTGGAACTGGGGGTCCTGGCTTTGGTCAACAAAGCACTTATGGCAAAGAATCCTGAGGGCGTGGTAATAACCAAAACAATTACCAAATGTATTAAAAGAGGACATGGAGGAAAGAGGTGCAGATGCTACAGCAATTTATCTTGCAAGATGATACACTGAATGGAGAGTGGTCTTCTATTGATCTGAGATGACAATTTTGTAAAAGACTTGTAGTGTACATGACACAGTTGTGTTCAATTGTATATAATGGCTGATATAGTTATCTTGTTTTCACTTTGTTTCTTGCCATCTGTGTTATGACAGATATGGATTTCTGTTTATACAAATTTAATTTGTATAACTTCATGTTAAATGATTCTCAAAAATAAATTACTTGTGATCATTAAAAAAACCCCAAAAAACCCTAGATATGACGAGTATCACTCATTAAAAGCCCAGAGTAAGAGATGACATGGTGAGTTGTAGATGGAAGCTGAAATGCAAGAGCATGGTTAGCATGAAGATGGCTGATGGACGGCAGCTAGGACTATATACCCTAAGGACCACAGAATTTCAGAGTTGAAAAGTATCTTAGAGAACAACTAGGTGGTGCAGTGAATACAGCCCCAGCCCTGGAGTCAAGAGGACCTGAGTTCAAATCCGTTATCAGACCACTTGACACTTACTAGCTGTGTGACCCTGGGCAAGTCACTTAACCCCAATTACCTCGCCAAAAAAAAAAGGAAAAAAAGTACCTTGGCAGCCAATTAATCCAACTTATAACAGAAAAAGAATCTTTGTTACAACATACCTGAGGAGAAGCTTAACGATCTATAAATAAAGAAAACCCACTGTCTTCCAAGGTAACCCATTCTACTTAGAAACAATTCTGACTGTTAAAGTTTTTCTTAACATCAACCCTAAATTTGCTTCTCTAAAACTTCTACCTATTACTCTTGGTTTTGCTCTTTGAGGTGAAAATAGAATAAATCTAATCTTTAATTCTTATTTAAGATAACAATCATCTGAGCATAAAACAACCAACCAATAAAACTGTTAAAACAATCAAATGACAGAAAGTGTAGTACACAGAGTGAAAGAGCACTGGTCTAGGAATCAGAAGATCACAGTTCAGGTTCTAACTCCAACGTTTGTCTGCTGTGTGATTGTGGATAAATCCATTTAACTTCTCTTGGCTTCAATTTTCTAACCTATAACATGTAGATAATAATATTGCACTGTTTCCATCACAAGGCTGTTGTGAGGGAAGGACTCTAAAAATCTTAAGTTTTTACATAAATCTGAGTTAATAAATATTTATGAAAATTACAATATATGATTCTGGTTTACAATCTACTAAAAAAGAAACTGAGAGAGGCAATGTTGTGCTGTCCTGGGTTTCAGTTCTGCCTTTACATATACTGGCTATGACACCCCGTACAAGTCACTTAACCTCTAAGTAGTGTAGGCAACTCTCTAAAACTATAAATTACAGAATGACTGCTAATCTGTATTAGTACAAGAGATTTCCTCGCTGGGAGCTCAATGCGGTGAGGAAATTATAGGACCAAACAAACAAAATGCAGAAATACAAACTGAACAATATCTAATTTTCCAAATTTATCAGTAAAATAATTCCAGTCAACAATTATAGTTTATAATCTATAAACTGTATTTCTATATATGATTTGAGTTTGATAATAGACTAGATCTAAAAAATCTACTGTTTATATATATTACCATTATAATTCTCTGTTTGAATGAATCCGGAGTTTTAAATAATGATAAGAAAACTTAAAAAAAAAGAACCATAGGTGGGTATGAGCAGGCTGCAACATAACATGAATATGAAAATATGTAATCAATAAGTATAAAAGATATCATAAAAAATTAGGAAAAAACAGATAGACACTGATCACATGGCAAGAGAGAGATGCAATCTGGCTTCCGTACCTACCAGTGAAAAGAAACGTTTTTTCCAAAGTTACCAACGATCTTTTCACAGCTAAATCCAAAGGCCTTTTTAGCCTTCACCCTTTTTGAACTTACTGTAATATATGATACTAGTGACTTCTTCCCTCTGGAAACTCTCTCCTCTTTGAGTTTTTAATGACACTGCTCCCTCCTGGGGTCTCCTGTTACCCATCTGGTCACCCCTCAGTCTCCTTTGCTATATCACCTGTTCCTTATCCAAGGCCTCTGTCCAGGGCTCTCTCTTCTTCTCTTTGTCTACTTTCCCTCAAGGGATCTCATCAGCTCCCATAGGCTCTACTATCACCTCTATGCAGGTGATACACAAATCTACATGTCTACTCCTTAGCTTGGTCCGAAGCTCCAGGCCAGTAACTCCCAAATGGCATCTCAAACTCAACATGTCCCAAACTAAATCCAATACTTAAAATCTCTATACTTCCTAATTTCCCTATTTATATCAAAAGTATTACCTTTTAGTCACAGAGGCTCAGATCTTAGAAGTCTTCCTCAAATCTTTTCTCACACCCATGCCCCCAGCCTCAATTAACCAATTAGTTTGCCAAGCATTATCAATTCTTTCTCTTCAACATCTCTCACACCTCACTTTTCTTTACTCACAACACAACGACCTTACATTATTGTAAAAGCCCGCTAATTAGACCCTCTGCCTCCAGCCTCTTCTCTTTCATGTCCCAGATAGCTACCAAACTGATATTCTCAAAGTCCAAGTCTGACCCTTGCTCAAGAAATGTCAGTGTCTCCACAATGCGTTTAGGATAAAGTACGAACACCTATGTTCTGCCGCAATCCGGCTCCACCCTTTCTTTCCAGGCTGATGACACATTACTCCCCATAGTGCACTCTGTGTTTCAGCCAAACTGATCTCTACATTAGGTTTTCCATTCCTCACCTTTATGCCTTTGCACAGGCTCTCCCCTATACCTGACATGCTCTCCATATGTTCACTTCTGTCTACTAGAATCTACCTCATTTCAAAGCTCAAGTCGAATGTCACATCAAATGAAAGGTCTTTCCAGATCCATCCTTACTCCCAACACTGTATTTATTTTGTACATATATCCCGTATTTGCTTATTTTCTAAAGTATTTCCCCAATAAAATATAAACTCCCTGAAGACAGGAACTATTTCATTTTTGTATTTGTATCCCCAGCACCTAGCACAGTTCCTGACATATAGTAGACACTTAATAAACACACGGTTGATTGATGATCAGTGTGTTGCAGTCTGCTTGCTCTAATGGTACCCACATGATGTTAAGAGAACAAAAAGAAAGCTCCCACCATATTGTGTGGAACCGCTCCAGCAATTTTATAGGAGGCTATGGATAAAAGCAGCTAGATGGCACAGTGGTAGGCCTGGTAGCGAAGACTCATCTTCCTGAGGTCAAATCTGGCTTCAGACACTTGCTAGCTATGTGACTCTGGGCAAGTCATTTAACCCAATGTTTTCCTCAGTTCCTCCTCATCAGTACAATGAGCTGGAGAAGGAAATGGCAAACCACTCCAGTATCTTTGCCAAGAGAACCCCAAGTGGGGTCCTGAACAGTCAGACGTGACTGAAATGACTGAATAACAAAAAATGGATGAGTTAATCAGAATAGGTAGGCTTGAATAGCTGTGATCTGCATCAATGGAGAGAAAACATATAATGAGATCACAAATCCAATGGAGTAAAATATCTCACCAAAAAGAAAAATAAGTCAAGCAAGGAATATCAAGTTATTTAACAGAATGATTTACCATTAACTTATATTATATTAGTGACCAAGAAAGAGACTCACCTCAATGGAAAAAAATTTTATGTCTTGTCCATATAACTTCATCTCCTCTGGAAAATTCTGGTAAGTGTTTATGTAGGGAATATGACCATCTTCTACAAATCTGAATTTTAAAAACTAGTATGAATCATAAATGAAAGTTATAGGTTTGTTTAAAAATAATTTTTTTCTGAAAATCTTTTATTTTGAAAAGTCAAGGTAAGATGCATTCTTACTTTACCTATGTGCAAACGTTTTAAAAGGCTAACCTATACCCACATGACTAATGAAAAAGAAAGTTCTTTATACCTTTTAATCAACTATATGATTGTGAAGGTATCTGCTGTAGAAAATCATCTGCAAAACTGTCTATTTCCTTCTCGTGTCTTTTTTAAAGACTAAATGTGACTTCTAAGTAGTACACATTTTATATTCCACACTTAAACATCCTACTTGTTTTCCCCAAATTATTCCTATGTCAAATTTATTCACCAACCAGAAGTGAGAAGTTCATTAGCATAAATCAGGAGTAAATACAGCTTCCAATAAAAATGAACACAGCAGCTAATATTTATACAGTGCTTTAGAGTTTGCACTTAGAAGACAGCTAGTGGTGCAGTTGACAGACCCGTGGGTCTAGTGTCAGGAAGATCGGAGTTAAAATCCATCCTCAGACACTAACTAGATGTATGACTATAGGCAAGTTACTTAACTTGTTTGCTTCAATTTCCTCAACTGTTAAATAGCACCTATGTTGCAGGACTGTTGTGAGGATCAAATGAAATAATATTTGTTTAAACAACAACAACAACAACAAAGCACTTAGCACAGTGCCTGGCACACAGAAGGTGCTACATACATGCTTATTTCCTCTTTCCCAATCCCCAAAGGCCATGACAACTACTGGACTAACAGGAGACACTGCCTCCAGTAGGGAAAGGAGAAACACGTTCTAAATAGACACAGGCACAGAGAGATAGATACTCAAGAAAGGAAGCAGGTTCAAGGAATGCCCTATTTGCTCATGAGTCTGGCACTGTGGAGAGGAACAGACTCTGGGAATTCAATATGAGGACTCTGCAAAGAGAGAAACAACTTCAAGCTCTGCAGTACATGGAGATGAGCTATATTTACCATATGCATAGTTCACACCTGTGCTTCACTACCACTTTATTCTAAATTTGAGCTATTTTTCCATCTGTGTATTTAGGGGAGAAGATATCCCAGGCATATGGTGATGAATGTAATGTTTTATAGGTATTGTTCTTTCCATGCTATTGTGCTTAAATGCCTTTGTTAAGAGCTAATTAATTCTGACTGTTACTGCAATCATACACGAGGGCTCATGATCTACAGTGTTAGGCATGCCGACCCACAGGGTTATCCCTTAGAACCCAAGGTAACAGCTGTCTTGTAGAGACCCCACTGAAAAATACAAATTGGAGGAACAGTCCCAAAGGGTATTACAATGATAAAATAAGGAAATCGATTTGTGTTTGCTATTATCTTCTTGGTCACTTTTTGGTGAGGAGAGCATAATAATTCTATCGGTGATTTTCTGTTCTTTGAAATATTCTCTGCTATGAACTGTCTTGAAAAGTATTTCTGCAATACATTCACAATTCTGAACCCTTCTGCCCCTAACCCTGGTATAATGTGAGGTTCTGCAGGCCTGGAACTATTTTCTGTTTTGTCCTTGTCCCTAGTGCCTAACACAATACCTTACACAGAGCAGTGGTTAATAAATTTTTGGACTGGTTAGACGTCTTCCACATGTATTTTGTCTGGTCAAGAAAAGCAAGTTAACATTTCCTCCTAGAGTATAAAAGGAATTATTATTAAAGTCCAAATGCAATGATTCCACTATAAGAAGAAATAGTCATGAAAATGCCAGCAACTGTTTCATTTATGACTACATGTTGTCCTCCTTCCAGCTTCATCTATAAATGCTAATGGGATAATCTGGTTTGGCTGGGTAAAATGACAAGCTTTCTGCAGAATCGTTTTCTCCCCTGCTGCTTTCTGTGGGTCTGATTAGTTTGTAATATTTAACCATTTTTCTCCATGTTTAGCAAATAAGTTTATACTGTAAATAAAGTTAACCCCAGATGACATATCTTTTTGTCTTGGCAAGGATATCATAAGCATTTGCTGGATAAAGTAGCTTAGCTGAAGCCCAACAGTACTGGACTACTGTGGTCTTCTTTTTTGTGGTTATTATTTTATATCATGTAAAATTCTCTAAGAAATAGTGCTTATAGAGTCAAAATCTTTATACTGACATATTTTTCATTTTGGGGAGTCAACAGTTCATTTATACAGTCTGGGAAAGAACTATTATAATTATTTTCATAACTTTCTTGTAGGTTGGTGTTCATTTTTTTACTTTTCCTCTGAATAGTCAATTTTCCAATTGCCCATAGACAGTTGATTCTGAAATAATACTCACATCACATAAAGAATAATTAGACATATCAGAGACTAATTAGAATCCAGATAAGCAAATGTTAAATTGGAAAGGACATGTACAAACACCTGTCTTTATGTATGTATTTATGTGTCTGTGAGGGTATGTGTGTATATACAAAGTGTCAACTAATATACATGCAGACATGTTTTAAACAAGCACATATATACATACATATATACATACATACTCATATAGGCGGCCATTTTCCTTGCCAAGACAAATCTCTCAATGATTACAATTGACTCTGTATCCCCACCATTTTCCCTCAAAGATTGCACCAACTATCATCCCAATACTCTCTAAAGTTCAATCTCTACTACCTACTGGTTCCTTCCCTGATGCCTACAAACATACTCACCCTGAAAAAATAGTCACTGACTCAAGCATCCCCATTAGTTATTGCTCTATGACTCTCCTCAGCTAAATTTCTTGAGCAAGTCATTTGTACTTGGGCACTACTTCCTTCCCTTTCACTCAGTTTTAAACTTTCTGCAATCTGGATTCTGCCCTCATCTCATCATTCAACTGAAACTGCTCTCTCCAAAGTTACCAATGATCTCTTAACTGCTAAACTGAATGGCCTTTTCTCAGTAGTTCTCATGTATATATTTTTTTATTTCTCTGATGCCTCTGACAATGTTGATCATTCACTTGGATATTCTCTCCTCCCTAGGTTTTAATGACACTACTTTCCATCCATCTAGAGAAGAGGTTCTCAAACTTTTTGTTCTCCGTACCCCTCTACTGAAATATTACCTAAAAAATTACTGAGGACCAGCAAAAGAACTGCTGCTAATGTGGATTATATTTGTTGTTATTTATCATATTAGAAATTAAAATGTCTTAGTATTATTATGAAAAAAGCTTTTGAATTCATGAATTCTGTAAAAAAGCTTTAGAGACCCTCAAGAGTTCCTAGACCACACTTTGAAAACCACTGATCTAGAGAATATAAAAACTGTTTGGGAGTATATCAACCAAGACAAACCCAGGAACTATGTGAACAAAACTATAAAATGTTCTTTACAGAAATAAAGACAAATGTAGGTAACTAGAGTAATATTAATTGCTTATGGGTAGTTCATGCTAAAATAATAAAAATAAAACTACCCAAATTAGTTTACTTATTCAGTGCTGTTCCAAACTACCAAAGAATTATTTTACAGACTTAGAAAATATAAGAATGAAATTCAACTGAAAGAACAAAAAGTCAAGAATTAAAAATCGGGAAAGAAGGGACCTACAACTAACAGATATAAAACTATACTACAAAGTAAAGTATATAAAGTAAAGCTCAAATTATTTGGGATTGGTTAAAAATTGAGAGATCTATTAGTAGAACAGATATAGAATATATAAGAGCAAACAAGCATAGTGGCATAACATTCAATAAACTCAAAGTTCCCAGTTACTGGAATAAGGACTCGCTGACAAAAAATACTAGGAAACATGAATAGCAATCCAAGAGAAATTAGGTATAAACCAACATCTCATATCATATATGAAGATACTCCAAATGGATACATGACACAGATATAAAAGGTCATATTACAGATGGAGCAAGGAAGAAATTACTTGTTAGATCTATGGATAGGGAAAGAGTTCATGATACAACAAGAGATAGAGGGCATCACAGAAGGTAAATGAATAACTGAGATTACATAAAATTAAGAAGGTTTTGCACAAACAAAACCAGTACAGCTATAAAGTTAGAAGAAGATTAAGCACTGTGGAAAAAAATTATTATAGCAAGTTTCTCTGATAAAGGTCTAATAACCAAGTTATATAAGGAACTGATCCAAATTTACAAAAATGAGAGCCATTACTTGATTGATAAATGATGAAATGATATAAATAGGCAAAGGGAAGAAATCAAAGCTATCAATAATCACATGAAAATATGTTTCAAATCAACAATAATTAAAGAAATAAAATTTAAATCAACTCAGAGGTTCTACTTCACTCACATCAGATTGATAAAGATGACAAAAGAGGAAAATGACAATTGTAGGAAGTAATGGGAAAATAGGGATATTAATGCATGATTGGTAGAGCAACACGGTGTGAAATGGTTCAGCTATTCTGGAAAAGCAATTTGGAAATATGCACAAAAAGCCATTATACTGTGCATAATCTTTGACCCCTAATATGCCTATGGATCTATCCAAAGAGACAGAAGGCCATACAGAGGTACATCCTGGGTGCAAGTGGCCTGCAACATATAACCAATGAGGAACTTCAAAGAAGAACAGGAGTAAAGGATATCTTTGAGAAGATATACAATAGGAAGAGATAAAAAGATACAAAAAGAATAACTATACAAAGTTATCAGTCAATAAAGAAACATTAAAATACATATGAAATAATTCAAAACTGCTATCAAAATGAGGCAAAAATAACATTACTACAGGCAACTCATCCTCTGAAACTGCTCAGGATTCTGTGCTTGGTGTCTAGACTGGTCCTTCTCTTTTGACCACGAAAGTGAGTATTTTAGCATGATTGCTGGGTGGGGTAAGGGAACCATCTGAAGCTTAAGGCAGAATAATGCATTTCTGGGGATCCCTCACTAGCTTTTGCTGTGTCTATATGTATTTATTTATGTGTCTCTTTCTGTGTGTGTCCCTGTAGAGAATCTCATACAGTGGACCATACCATAACTTATCAGAAGATATGCTGGCAGTTATATCATTATTATAATGTTAATGAAGAGCTGGGTTCTTGACCCCATCTTCTGAGCCTTTTTCTATTCTATAAGGCATGTCTACGCTCAAAGCTGTGACAACCTGACAAAAGTGAAAAAAGGAGAACTGGAAGAATAATATTTATAATGAGTTGGACTACACAAAAACAAAAAGTATATTTAGTGTCTGAACAAAGACATTGGGGAGAAAAAAATGATAAACAGTTATTCGAATGTCAAAATTCTTTTCAAATTTAGTTTTAAACATGTTTACTAGGTCTTGCTGAAGTTTCAAGTTCATATTTCTGGAAATTTTTAAAAAACATTAGATGTAATATCCAGTTCACTATGAAATTTTATAGGGAGAAGACTTTAGTTGGTATACAGCTCACATTACAGACCTTTATTATTCAGGGGGTTTCACAGGGAAATGGGCTTATATTTGTTTTACCTCATCCTAGGAAGCAGAATGAAGGTGTAAAGGATAGGTGTCTCAGAGAGGCAGACTTGTGTTTGAGATGAGGAAAAACTTTGTTAACTGTTATAGTTATTCTAATATTAAATGGGCTGCCTAAGGAGGGAATTGGTTCCATCTCACTTGAGGCCTTCAAATGAAAGCTGGATGATTGCTTGGTTGGTGATGACATAAGGGTAGTTTCAGTCACATACAAGTTAAAGCAGACGGCCTCTGAAGTTCTTCCAACTCTTGAGAGTCCATGATTCTGATCTTCATGACATATTTCACAGATTTCCATTTAATTGAATCATATAGTAAAGATTTTCTTTTAATCAACCATTTCACAGAGTGTTTCCAACAAGCAGAATCCACAATAATTTTAAAGAGAGAACTCCAACTCTGACTTTCCCTGTCTTCTTGGCTCAAGATTGGCACGGAGGGTGGAAAAATGAAAACTATCCTGAACAGGGAATAGCACTCTGGACTTGGATTAAGGAAGATCTGAGCTCTGATCTGAGCCCAGACATTTACTGAACTAGCTGTGTGACCTTGGGCAAGTTACTTAACCTCCCTGATCTATTTACTCTCTCATCTGTAAAACAGGAATAACAGCAGCAACTACTTCACAGGGTTGTGAGGATAATATATGTAAAACCCATCATAAACCTTAAAGTGCTACATTAGTGTAATTATTATTGTTGTTGTTGTTGTTATTATATATTGAAATAGGTCTTGATTTCCTAAAGTAAGGTGGTAACATGTTATGATATCTGGTATATCTGATACTTAAAGAGGCACTCCTATACATAATCCTGACATCTGCTCATCAAACGTAAAAACCTGCATGTTTTCTAAAAAATGTAAAAGCTGATTATACATTAGGTTTTCTCAATACTCTTATTTTCATCCCTGATATATATATATGACAATTTATTTACACTTTTTTAAGTTACTAATGATCACACAGAAAATCTGAAGACCATCTGCTCATTTTTTCTTTTATAAATTAAACTACTTAATAAAAATACTTAGCTACATAAGTGGCACTTATAATCTTCAAAGTACTTCAAATACATTAGTTAATTAATCTTTCAAACATGCCTATAAGGTAATTGTGATTATTTCCACTATATAAACAAAGAAACTAAGGAGAAGTTAGTTACTACTGCAGGAGTTAAGCCCCAGATTTAGAACTCAGGCCTCACTATCTCTTAGTCATTCATTCATACTAAGTCTCTAAGGTAAAATGGAAATGTGCAATAACTACCCCTCCCCCCAATTAGTGCTACTACAGGCAATACCAAGAATTTGTTTTTTCTTCTCTGAATATTCATCTTACCTCAAGAGATCTGAAAGGGTAATTGTTTCCCTCTGCCAAAGTAATGACATATAGCAGAATGCAAGTGTCATTGGCAGAGTCATCTTCAAAATTCCTTTTTCCCTCTGCCTTGAGTATTCAACTCCATCAACTGATCCAGAACATACAGAAGTAGTTTCTTTGAAGGGGGAAAAAAATAGAGATTATTTTAAAAACCCAAATTATTATGTTGCACAATAAAAGAAGAAATACATTAGTAATGCTTCCTCTCAGAAGTTCTCATTAGGATTTTAAATGAAAAAGTAGCATTTCTTTTACCCAGGATAACAATCTAGGACTCGTCATTAGCATTAACAGCCATGGATGAACAATCCAACATTTGTTTAAAAATTTTTTAAAAAGAACAGAAGGGATTACTTTTCATATCTATGGCTAGGGGGAGAATTCCTTACCAGAGATTGTGATTGCATGAAATTGAAAAGCTCTAATAAAAGTCTGATACCCAAGATAAATATGTATTTAACACAAATATATAAGAGCTAATTGTTAAAAAAAATAGGAACAGGAAAACTTTTTTTGATTCTATACAAATTTTCTTTTATTCTGAACACTAAATAAAATGAATGTTTCCACATACAAAGTAGAACAAAAGAAGACTGTAAATAAAATTAAAAATCTCTATTACGTACAATTCCTTTTTTTTCCTTTTAAGTATATAATAAATCCAACATGTAATATGGCTGCCCTGATTGGCTGTGTTTCCTTCTGGACTTCCTTCTAGTGTCCTGGGTGCTTTTTTGTTTTAAAAAACCTTCAATAATTCTGTTTTGGAAGTTAAACCTGTTACTAGTCCCCCTCCCCTTCCCAACTTCTTGCCCCACAATGGGAAAAAAAATGAAAACCAAAACTCTTTAAAAATGTGCATAGTCAAGTAAAACATATTCGCCCATTGGCCACATCTGAAAATGTCTGTCTTAATATGCACTTAAAGTACATTAACCCCTATTAAGGGGTAGGTAGAGTGCTTCTTCACCAAACCTCTTAAATTGTGGTTGGTAAGTGCACTGATCTGAGTTCTGAAGTCTTTCAAAATTGTTTTTCTTTACATATTGTTATTACGGTAGCTAGGTGGTATAGTGGATAGACTTGGAGTCAGGAAAATCTGGGTTCGAATCACGCTTCAGACACTTACAACCTAGCATCAACCTACTTTTCCAACTTTATTATATATTGCTCCCCTTTTTATACTGATTGGTTCAGTCAAACTGGCTTTTCTGCTCCTCTTCATGTAGCTTTCCACCTCTGTTCCTTTGTACTAGTTGTCCTCCATTCCTATAATGCATTCCCCTCCTCACTGTTGGCTTTTAGAATACTTTTTCTTTCAATATTCAATTTAAAAACACTATCTTCTACATGAAGCTTTTCTTAACACTGCCCTCCCTGCCTCCCCACCCTGATAACCCCTAGCCATTACTTTGTATTAATTTTGCATATGCTTACATATGTTCATATTGTCCCCTGCTAAAAGGTAAACTCCTTAAAGCCAGACACTGCTTAGTTTTCTTTCTTAAATTCTCAGAGGGTGATTAATAAATGCTTGCTAATTGGCTGGTAGCTCTTTAAGTGCTATCATTTACATCAGTAATGTATATTCTTTTTGTTTTTCTTTTCTCATTCTCAGTCACTTTATAAAATATTCCATGTTTCGCTGAATTCCTCTTATTTATTCTAACAGTATGGCAATAAATCATTACATCTATAATCACAATTGTATAATTTGTTCAGCTTTCCTTAACTGAAGGGTTGAACTATTTTATTTCCTTTTTTTCTTCAGAAAAAGAACACTACTATAAATGTTTTGTTATAGACAAGACCTTTCTGTCACTGACCTTGGAGGATACATACCCCAACTACTTCTTCTCCACCCCTCCATTACCTAGTATTCTATAAATATATACTTATGTATACGTCTCTCCTGATAGAATGTAAACTCTTACAGAGCAAGAACTATTGGGAGTACATAGGGGCTGAGCCAAGATGGCAGAGTAAAAGCAGTGACTTGCTTGAGCTGTCCTCCAAACCCCTCCAAATACCCGTAAAAAAATGGCTCTAAACAAATTCTAGAGTACCAGGATCCACAAAAAGACAGAATGAAACAAATTTCCACAGCCCAAGACAACCCGGAGGGTCGGCAGGAAAGGTCTCTTGCGCCAGGCTGGGAGAGGAAGACAGTTCAGTATGGGCATGCGTACAGGCAAAGATTAGGCCTCAGTGAACCTGAAGCAGGACGCAGGAGACTAAATCACGGGCAGCTGCAGCAGTTTCCAGACTTCTCAACCCACAAACACCAAAGATAACTTAGAAGATCAGCAGGAAAGGTCTATGAATCCGACCACGGTGAGAGAGGAGCTCAATCCAGCCCCAGTCCCAGCACAGCCCTGGGGTGGCAGCTGTTTCCAAAGCTCTTGACCCATAGACAGAGGGCGGATCAAGTGGCTGATCAAAGGGGGATTGTAGGGATCTTTTCGCTGCAACTGAGGGAGGATTCTCTTGCTTTGCCTGTGCTCAGATCTGGGTTGCAGTTCTAGGTGGCTGTTCTGGGGCGAGTAGGAGCATTGGCCTAGTGGAGCTTATGGTGGCAGTGCAGAGAGAATCACCCTAACAGTTCCAAGCCAGAAAAGCGTACTTGTGGTCAATCACAGACCAGAGCACAGGCCAGGAAAGGAGTAAACACCTCACCCCTTATCATACCACCTTGGATGAACTGAAAATTTACAAGTCCCTAGGTGTATCTCTGAAAACAGCTGCACAAAATCCCTGAAGACTGGGACACTACATTCTCCACACTGGAAGCAGATCCCTACCTTAACAAAGAGTAACGCAAGTACTTGGCTGGGATCATGAGCAAACCTCGCAAAAAAAGTCAGACCATAGAATCTTTCTTTGGTGACAAAGAAGATCAAAACATACAACCAGAAGAAGACAACAAAGTCAAAGCTCCTATATCCAAAGCTTCCAAGAAAAATATGAATCAGTCCTAGGCCATGGAAGGGCTCAAAAAGGATTTTGAGAAGCAAGTAAGAGAAGTAGAGGAAAAACTGGGAAGAGAAATGAGAGTGATGCAAGAAAAACAAGTTAATAGCTTACTAAAGGAGACCCCAAAAAATACTGAAGAAAATAACACCTTAAAAAATAGACTAACCCAGGGGGCAGCTAGGTGATGCAGTGATAGAGCACCAGCCCTGCAGTCAGGAGGACCCGAGTTCAAATCTGGCCCCAAACACTTGACACTTACTAGTTGTGTGACCCTGGGCAAGTCCCTCAACCCCACTGCCTACTTAAAAAAAAAAATAGACTAACCCAAATGGCAAAAGAGGTCCAAAAAGCCAATGAAGAGAAGAATGCCTTAAAAAGAAGAACTGGCCAAATGGAAAAGGAAGTCCAAAAGTTCACTGAAGAAAATACTTCCTTAAAAAATAGAATGGAGCAAATGGAAGTTAGTGACTTTATGAGAAAATAAGAAATTGTAAAACAAAACCAAAAGAATGAAAAAATAGAAAACAATGTGAAATATCTCACTGGAAAAACACTGACCTGGAAAATAGATCCAGGAGAGATAATTTAAAAATTACTGGACTGAAATCCATGCTCAAAAAAAGAGTCTAGACATCACCTTTTAAGAAATTATCAAGGAAAACTGCCCTGATATTCTCAAAATAGAGGGTAAAATAGAAGTGGAAAGAATCCACTGATCACCTCCTAAAAGAGATCCCCAAAGGAAAACTCCTAGGAATATTACAGCCAAATTCCAGAATTCCCAGGTCAAAGAGAAAATATTGCAAGCAGTCAGAAAGAAACAATTCAAGTATTGTGGAAACACAATCAGGATAACACAAGATTTAGCAGCTTCTACATTAAGGGATTAGAGGGCTTGGAATATGATATTCTGGAGGTCAAAGGAAATAGAATTATAAGAAGAATCACCTACCTAGCAAAACTGAGCATAATCCTTCAGGGGAAAAAAAATGGATATTCAATGACATAGAGGACTTTCAAGCATTCTTGATGAAAAGACCAGAGCTGAATAGAAAATGTGACTTTCAAATACAAGACTCGAGGAACATGAAGAGGTAAACAGGAAAGAGAAATCATAAGGGACTTATTAAGGTTGAACTATTTACATTCCTGCATGGAAAGATGATATTTGTAACTCATGAGACCTTTGTCAGTATTAGGGTAGTTGGAAGGAAAAAATTATATGTATGTATGTATGTAGATAGATAGATAGATAGATAGATAGATAGATAGATAGATAGATAGATAGATAGAGGGCACAGGGTGAGTTGAAGATGAAGGGGTGATATCTGGAAAATAAAATTAATGGGTGAGAGAGGATTATACTGGGAGAAGGAGAAAGGGAGAGGTAGAATGGGGTATATTATCTCACATAAAACAGACAAGAAAAGGCTTTTACAGTGGAGGGGAAGCAGGGGAAGGTGAGAGGGAATGAGTGAATCTTATTCTCATCAGATTTAGCTCAAGGAGGGAATAACATACCACTCAATTGGGTATGGAAATCTATCTTACCGTACAGGAAAAGAGGCAGGAAGGGACAAGACAGCAGAAGGATGATAGAGAGGAGGGCAGACTGGGAGAAGAGGTAATCAGAAGCAAACACTTCTAAGGAGGGACAGGGTCAAAAGAGAGAATAGAATAAATGGGGGTGGGATAGGATGAAGGGAAATATACTTAGTTTTTCACAACATGACCACTATGTAAGTGTTTTGCATGACTACACATGTATAACTAGTATCAAGTTGCTTGCCTTCTCAATGAAGGTGGGCAGGGAGGGAAGAAGGGAGAAAATTTGGAACCCAAAGTTTTAAAAACAAATGTTAAAAACTGTTTTCACATGCAACTGGGAAATAAGATATACAGGCAATGGGATATAGAAATCTATCCTGCCCTACGGGAAAATTGAAGGGGAAGGGGTTAAAGAAGCGGGAGAGAGATAGAAGGGAGCGCAGATTAAGGGAAGAGGTATTCAGAATGCATGCCGTCTTGGGTTGGGGGGAGGGGCGAGATTGGTAGAAAATTTGGAACTCAAAATCTTGTGGAAGTGAATGCTGAAAACTAAAAATAAATATTTAAATAAATTTTTTAAAAGAACCATTTCAT